TTTTTGGAAGCCCCACCCCATTTTTTGGGAAGCCCCACCCCATTTTTTGGGAAGCCCCACGCCATTCCCGCTCTCCCGTCCTCTCCCAGTTCTCCAAGTCCATGGTGCTGGACGTCTACAGCGACTACGTCAACAACTTCACGGCGGCCATGTCCCTGATCAAGAAGGCCTGTCTGACCAAACCCGCCTTCCTGGACTTCCTCAAGGTCAGCGCGGCCCCTCCGGGCTCGGCTTTTCCCAAAATTCCCGTTTTTTGGTGGCGTTTCCCCAAAACCCCCGTCACCGTGGCCTTTCCCCCGCGGCAGAAGCGGCAGATGGCCAGCGCCGACCGCGTCACGCTCTACGGGCTGATGGTGAAGCCCATCCAGAGGTTCCCCCAGTTCATCCTCCTCCTGCAGGTGAGAGTGGGGAGAAGCTCTGGAGGACATCTGGGAGGTTCTGGAGGACATTTGGGAGGTTCTGGAGGACATTTGGGAGGTTCTGGAGGACATCTGGGAGGTTCTGGAAGAAATCTGGGAGGTTCTGGAGGACAACTGGGAGGTTCTGGAAGACATCTGGGAGGTTCTGGAGGACATCTGGGAGGTTCTGGAGGACATCTGGGAGGTTCTGGAAGACATCTGGGAGGTTCTGGAGGACATCTGGGAGGTTCTGGAGAAGGTTTTGGGGAGCTTTTGGGAGGTTCTGGAGAAGGTTTTGGGGAGCTTTGGGAGGTTTTAGAGAAGGTCTTTGGGAGCTTTTGAAGAATGTTCTGGAGAAGGTTTTCAGGAGCTTCTGGAGGATGGTTTTGGGAGGTTCTGGAGAAGGTTTTGGGGAGCATTCGGAGAAAGTTTTTGGGAAGTTCTGGAGATGGTCCAGAGGAGGTTCTGGAGGAGGTTTCTGGGAGTTTCTGGAGAAGGTTTTGGGGAGGTTCTGGAGAAGGTTTTGGGAAGTTCTGGAGGAGGTTTTGGGGAGTTTTTGGAGGAGGTTTTTGGGAGGTTCTGGAAAAGGACTGGGGAGGTTCTGGAGAAAAGTTTTGAGGAGGTTCTGGAGAAGGTTTTTGGGAGATTCTTTAGGAGGTTTTGGGGAGCCTTTGGAGGAGTCTTTTGAGAGGTTCTGGAGAAGGTTTGGGGCAAGTTTACAGAGATTTTGGAGAAGGTTTTTGGGAGGTTCTGGAGAAAGTT